TACAGTTTGCTGTAGATTTGTAAAAATAATCTACACTTTGAACAAAGGAGTGACGTCACAGAAATAGTTCAATTGTTCCTTTTTCATGTTGTTCCAGTTATTGTTATTAATCTTGATTGACATGCCATTAAAAGTCACTGCGCAAAGTTACTGTGAAACGAAAGGGTCCAAAGGAAATCTTCCCTTTTCATCTCACAGCTCTGCACCTAGTAACATTTCACGACCTTGCCAGGACACTGTCAGTGAAGTGACTGTCAGAAGGAAAGGCCACATGAAATAGCCAAACCACTGCACACGACTGACCAACAGAAAAAAAGGGGTACAGGTACATCTACCTGGGACAGACACCAGTGCTTAAAGGAAATAGTAATATGAATTTTAATGCTTTTTTTCTGGTATAGAACAATAAATTATGATACAAAGAGTGATACTTTGTGTGAGTTATTGATTTCTTTCCGAGATAAGAAGGCAATACTTGATTTTGAAAAGGTTCGGTCAGGCCCGCAGTCCACAAATCTCAACCCTCATTAACATAAATCTTTGCATGGGGTGTGACATACACTGAGGCACAAGCTTGCTGCACTGCCAGGTTTGTTTACACGTGTTGAGCTGCAAGAAATGTTTGGTTCATTACAATCTGTGACAGTGTGTAAGTGGTTTCATAGGTCATCTTTACACAAGCACATGACTAGGTACAATGGTACAGTGGTTGAAGCTTGGTGGGAGTAGGATTGAGAAAGTAAATCCCTTAATCCTTTTTGGACTAGATTAGCAAACAGAGAGCAAGACCGAGACCAAGGCATACGAGACTGAGACCAAGACCGAGACCTACATGTACTCCTTCAAAACCAAGACCAGGACTTCGAGACTGAGACTTTTGCAGGTTGAGACAGAGACAGAAACCACAACCTCCCGAGACGAAGACCAACCATAAACCAATGTTCAGTTTTGACCAGAAGGTAAATAAGGACAAACATATAGCAGTACAATTAAGTACAAAAGAAATAAAATGAAAACATTCGCATAAACTCACACACACAAATAGGTCAAATATTTGTTAAAGAATTTCTCAGTTCTTTTATCAATGATACTGCTCTACTATTACCCTGGTAATTTTCAACCTGAGAGTCCCAAATGATATGATGTGAACATTAAAACAAATATCCTAAGACTGTTTTTTTGTAAGCAAAATACTGAAAAACAAATATCCAAAAAAGACGTACCGTAACGAAACTACTAAAAACAACACATACCACACACAAGACAGAATGAAAGCACTTTCACACATGCACACAATTCAAAGCGTGCACACACACACAGACTGCAAATTCTGCTACTAACAACCTCATCTCCACGGTGTCAAGCAGCATAGTTACTACGGATTGGAAATAAAGTAACAATTTTGGACAAGGTTGCATCATGCTACATTGAAGAGTCTGCATTCCAGCATCGATTTCAATGCTTATTGCAAAACAATCTGAACATTACTGTGTTGAATGATTTGACTTTTCCAACCGCGTGCATGCGTGGGAGCTAGATGTGCATTTTGTTCTGGTCTCGAGGGGGAAATCCAAGACTATGGCATCCGAGACTGAGACCAAGACTGGTGCTTTCGAGACCAAGACCGGCCCTCCCAAGTCCGAGACTTTCACAGGGCGAGACCGAGACTGCTAAAAAGGTCTCGAGACCTACAGCAGTGGTGTCTGCTTCTGATTGGAAGTTAGTTGGGCATTTGAATACGAAGTTCTTTTGGGTGCTTTATATGTTAATATTTGTACCACATTCTTGTAACATTCCTCAAGGCTTTCCCATGTATATGTGAGTTATTGAGCTTTTTCTTTGAAATAGAGCAATGAAGTCAAAAATGCTGGACACATGGAGCTTGAAGGCCTCAAGCACATGTTGGCATGTGTGCGAGCAGCCGACCTGATGGTTGAGAAGCTCGTAATTGACCGTCACCGTCAACTAAGCAAATACATCAGAGAGAAGGAGCCAGATTCACTTCATATGTTTGACGTCTGGCATGTTGCAAAAGATAATCATGTAAGCTTTGTGTAATTTTGCCAGGAACAGCTCACTGTTTTGGCATCCAACTGTAACACATGCTTAGAGCTACATTTGCATCATTTAAATCACATAATTATAACCTTTGCACTGCCCTGTGAAACAGAACTACAAAATTTTCTGGCTCTGCATATTCTATCATCAGATATTACATAAATGGCTATAACTGTATATTGCACAGATGGCTTAATAGCCAGGGATGTGAATGGAATGTGCATTGAAAGACAAAGTCACGGCTCGGATTCACCGAGGATCTGAATGGAGAAACCCCCCCAGAACCCCGTTTTTGACAGTTCTTGGCTTAGCCGACCATATGCATGTACTGTATATGGCAATATCCATTGAAAAATGTCATCTTTTTCTTTTACTCCACTGCCTGACAAACATTGAGAGTCTTGGTATTTTACATCCTCGGTAATACAATGCCGGGACAATTTTTGAAAGTATTTCTTTCATAAAAGTCAGTTCAGAAAACTGTTTCATAAAAGTATCAGACCACCATGTTGAACTGTAGTCAAACCAGTACTTTTATATGGCCAGTATTTTTGGTACATGACAAGCTTGCTAAGAAAAAGGTATTTGAGCAAGTTGCAGAGTGAAAGAGGAGTATAAACAACCACGTATACTGGTGTGCCAGCTCGACAGATGCAGAAGAGGGACTGAGGGAGGCCAAGTGGCACTCAATCATCAATCACATGCAGAACACTGCGGCCACTCAGCTATCTTCCCCCAATGTCAGCATGGGCGAATTAGAAAATGATCAAAGTGGTTGTCCTATTTTCTCCCCTTATATTCATAAATTTATGATAGAGCTAATAGAAGAGAGGACTTCTTATTACAATTTGGCACATTTTTGAAATCTAATGTAATCTGGCAACCTGGTTGTCATCTTTGGAAAAATAAAATATCAGAAAAAAATCCTAAAAGTATCACAAAAAATGTAGTTTTCCAGTTTTATGAAAGGCATATAATTCCATCATCCTGTTTTATTTGTTCTACAAAAAAGATTATTGGTGCCATAGGGTGTTTTAAACATGATATTTTCTTGCAATTCTCATCCAGTGTATCTTGATCATCATTGCTATTAGGCATAGAAGCTTGTGAGAAACTCTACAAGCTGCTGGAAAAGAAGCTCCTTCTCAAGGGTATCCGCAAAATGTCAACAACATCCCAGACATCATCACTGGAGGCATTTCACAGCCTGCTGAATCAGTTTGCTCCGAAGTTGAAGGAATTCTCAAATGAAGGCATGTTAAGCTGGTTCGTCAAAATTTCTAATATTATAGTCATAAAAAAATCTGTTTCAAACATTTTTGAAGACTACATGTATATATGTTTTTGCAGAAATGGAAAATTTAATTTACGGGTTCTATGTTGCCAATGTTCTGAAACTTCTTTCAACATACTACAGAGTATATGCCAAGTGTTTAGTCTCGTACAGTCATTTGGTCTGAAATGTTGGGTTCAACAGGTTGTGTTTAGCTGCTCTCCATTACAACGAGAATAGTGAATGGTCTCAAGCCACCAAGTTGGATAGGAGCCAGATGTTTCACTTGACAAAGCCAAAGTACAAGCGGGGGAAACTATCGTGAAAGTGATGAAGGAATCTGCTCAGTTTAGTTATTGCAATGCAAAGCCATTAATAGCATTAGCAAAAAAAAAAAAAAAAACGATCTCACTATTTGGCAAAGTTGTGGAAAAACAAGAAGAGGACTCAGCAAAAGTTGCACACAAAAGGCCGAAATTAATTGCAAGTGTGGGTATGGGTTACAAAAAAAGTGAAGGCTCAAACAGAAATTGAAACAAGAAACTGAAAAATTGGGACCTCTGTTTATTTTGTAATTTCAGTTTGTCTTATCTTGAATGTACATTCATTTGAATAATCCACAATTTTTACACCTTGAAAAGTGTAGGTATTGTAGCGGAACAGTTAATTATTAGACAGTTTTACGCATTAGACAAGTTTATGGACGCTGGTGCACGTGCTCAAGCTCGCCGTGTTGCGCACAAATTGCGTAGGGCGTTGGTACCCGGCGCGGGTATATAAGCGCGTGACTTGCGTGCGGTCTGCCTATTCCGTCCCAGCAGTCTGCCTATTCCGTCCCAGCGCTCTTTCGGGCTGCACGCTTGCTGACGCTGCGCCGCACTTTCCCGCTCTTTTTGTGCCCATCCTCCACGTTCGTGCTCTGGTGACTGGGTTTGCACCGCGTGGAGCTGAGCCGAGCCGTGTACCAGGGTGAGTTGAACCCTTAAGTGGAGGCAAGAAGGAGGAATCTGCCCTGTAAGTTATTGTTGAGTTGTCCGCTACCCAGAAGCAGAAGAGACACCTGATTAGGGAGCACCTAAGTGTTTAATAAATAAATACATCGGTCTGTCCCGAAATGTATTGGCTTGATCCGTTGGTTATTTGTACCCGACCCCCTTGTTCGTGTGTGGTGTGCGTGTGAGCGCGTCCTGGTGCCTGGTGGTAGACTGCCCCACAACGAGTCTGCTCCCCCGGCCTTCTTATTAGACCGCTCGTAGGACGGCCGAGGCCCTACTCAGGGTACGTCCCCTTCCCAGGTTCGCCCTAAGGAAGTCGCCTACCTCAGGTGGACGGCAACGTTGGTGAGTCCAGGGGAGGATTCCGCCACAGTATACTTGAAAGTACAAGGACAACATGCTGTCCATAATATGTGAACATCCTAATAAAATGTATTTCTAATGTGCGGGTTATGTCAAGGAACTGGTCAGTGAAGTTGAAACAATTGTAATTCCTGTCAGTTTACTGTTCCTAATGTCCAATAGGCAGTTAGAAGCTTCTGTATTGTTCACAGTCAAAACAGTTTCATGTCTTGGATCAAGTTGGACTGGGCACCCTACATTGTGCTGAATATGATATCAAACATACTAAACTTGATTTAGTTGAGAAGAACTCCAATCAAGCAACTGAAAACTAAACTATGGCAACCGTAACTGATTTTATTACTTTTAAATTAGTGGAGTTGTTGCTGTTGGTTTACACATGTACTTATCAAAATTTAATATCCTTGAAAAGTAGCCAAACTTCTTAACAAAGAGGTCCTTGACAATTAAAAAATAACATTGTTGTAACCCTGTACAATGGACATGTATTAACAGGAGTGGAAAACAATAGTGAAGACTTAGAACCTACACTTCCCCTTTTAATGATAGAAAGCAGTGCTTTTATTGGGGTTTGACTGTATACGTGTACAGTCATATGATACAAAATATGCAAAGCAGTTGCAAAAGTCGACATTGACACTCAGTTTTCTGTATTTTTTTTGAACAGGTTGCTGTATTTTTACTTTTTAGCACTGTTAAAACCTGAAACTGTCGAAAGAAATTTGCATAGAATATCTAAAACTGGGAAGGTGATAAGTGAATACATGTAGTTTTTACAGTACACAGAGCATATAAAATCCAAGTCACAGAATCAAAGTGAGAATACATGTACAATATGAAATGAGAATACATGTAATATGAAAGTATAGATCTGACAAATGTGACGGCCCCAGAAGTTTAACATCAAAATGTGTGGTAGTAAGTAAAGTCTGTCTTACGTACTAAACAGGGATGTATTTTGTCTTATTTAGATTAATTTAGTGATCTTTCTAACAATATTTCAAGTACATGTAACAAGCTCTCTTCATTTTTGTGCCACATATGAATTTACAAAATGTATTTTGTGTATGTGCGCATACACTCGCGCAGTTTTTAAAGTTTTGACCATGTCAAAAAAACAACTTGACATCCCATTTAAAATGTTGGTTTACATTAGTCCGACTCAACTTCATTAAATCCTATATAAACACTGTCTTCAGATGGAAAGGTCTCCTTGATGAGACGAAGAGCACATGCTCAGTTTGTACGTGGAGAGAACCCTGCGCTGAAAGTGGAACACGTACCATGTGTCCCAGGTGTCCCCAACACCATCGTGTCAGCCGCCTATATGCAGTATGGCGGTACTTCCTGTACAGAATATTAACAAGAAAGTCATTTAAAAAAATAAATGGGCATGTACCTCCAACAGCTGGATTAGAGTAAAGTTTGAATAGGACAATTTTTAAAACTCAACATAGAGGGAATCCCTATATTCTAATACTGAAAGTGTCATAACCATGTGATCAAGAATTTTAATGACAATATCATAACCACATGGCCAGCAATAAAGTTTGACGGGGCTTCTCATCACCTGAAAAAAAAAAATCCTTGATGTTTCTCTGCATTTTGGTAGTACATGTATACATGTCCGGGTGTTTGTTAATCCATGGAGGAAGGACACAAGAGGAGTTACAACTCTAGCACATCAAAGTGCTCGATGATTATTGCCACCCAGTGAGACAAACAATAGTAAACATTCCAAAAATTCCTGATTACTGCTTAACCAGACAAGTGGGACCAGTAATATCCAGGCTGCGACAATTTTTGTTGTTTAGCTTGCCTGATTGGGCAGGCCATGCCATAAATTTGCTTGCCCGAATTAGATAAACACTTGCCAAAGATTTCTTGGAATCCATGATTATTATGGTTATTTATTTAGGCCTACTGCATGCATGCAGTCTTTTATTAGACCCCCAAAATAGTTGTGCTTCCAATTACATGCCTCTTAAAAATAGGGTTGTAGGTTGGAAATTTTTTATTTTTTGGTCAATTTTTTTTTGTCTTGATTGAATGGCATGAACAGGAACGACAGCTTCAAAAATTATCTCAAAAAGTGATGAACACCTGTCCTTTAATCTATGTAAAAATTTCTACAGGCGACAATTCACAAGAATTATGGGCAATTCATACAGTGTGACTCACGCAATCACGACGGCAAACTGACAATGTATCGTAAGGTAAGCGTGCGTGAGGCATCCAGACCAGAGGGCAAAAAACCTTGTGCTGCGGCAGGAAATTTGTTGAAAGATGCTCACTTAAGTACGAGCAAAACAAACTCAAACTAGAGGTTTTGTCTGTCTCAAGGACAGAGGAAAGGGCTTTTTCGCATTTTCTTTTTTCTTAAGAAAAGGGCATTCCTTCTTTTGATATACTACCACATTTGAATTTCACCCTTTCGGACATTAGGAGATATAAAGAATTAAAGTTTGCATCCTTTACATAATGTCACCTTGTCTATAACACTTGCCAAATCTATCTCCCAAATTTCAGCCCGATCAGACATGTAGTTCAGAAGATATACGCTTGTAAAGATTGCACTTTTAATGTCACGCGACTAGTCACACGATGAAGTCCTTACCACATCAGGTCCATTTTTGTCTAAAACTCTTCCTATTCAAGAGATTTGCAAGGTTTGAACCCAATCGAATATGTACTTCATGAGATAAAGTGCTTTAAGGAGTGCACCTTTAATGTCAGGTGACTTGTCTTCTGATGACGTGATCGTCACATGGGGTCAATATTCCTCTAAAGCACCCCTTTCTCAAGATATCTGCAAGATTTGAACCCGATTGGTCATGTACATCAGGAGATATAGGGCTTTCAAGAGTTCAACTTTAATGTCACATGACTTGTCTCCTCATGACGTCATCATCACATAACCTGTAAGGTCAACTTTCCTCTAAAGCATTCTCTATTCAAGATATCTGCAAGATTTGAACCCAATCGGACATGTACTTCAGGAGATACAGGACCTTAAAGAGTGTATTCTCCGTTCGCATCAGTCTGCAAACCCCGCCTTATTTGCATAATCATAAATCTAAATCTAAAAAAATTCTTTGATAATATCTAACATAACAATAATTGATGGCACATTTCCATTTTCTGTGTACAAAATTTAAGAAAAAAAACTGCAGGACCACTACAGATGACATCTGTTGCACGTTCCTGGACATTTTGCCGCAAAAATGAATTTCGCTTTTGATAACTGTGACTAGAAGTTGTACTGTATGATATACACTTTGAAACTACCCTGACATTCATCGGCAAACGACAACATGTGGGATCTGCAAGTTAAGGGTCTGGTGTTGTCATTGACTTCATCACCGTCCTGTTTGGGGTCAGGACTTAATATGCCCCCATGTAGATCATCAGGTATCACGCCCCTTTTTTAATCAACAAAAAAGTAGAATCCAGACAAAATTCAAAACATTTGACATTTCCATAATGATAATTATGTCCATTACGAAAAAAAGCAATTGCTGATGATATCATCACTAAATGAGCTCAATATTTGCATAAAGCACTTCCTCTCCAAGATATGAACAGAATTATCTTCATTTTAGAGTTAGTGCTTGCTGTAAGTTTGATGACGATCAACGATTAATAAGGTACGAAAATAGTGCCTTGAAAACTTGTACAAAGTCAATGGGCTGAAATAAATACTGAAAATCAACAATAAATCACTTGACGATGTCATCAAGACGTCATAAATTTGGACGTATCCTTGCATCAGGGTCTTTTTTGGCTGTAACTTTGGTTACAATTGAAGATCGCAAAATTACCATAATAGTGTTTTGAAAACGTGTACAAAGTCAATGGGCTGAAATAAATCAATAATAAATCACTTGATGATATTATCACGATGTCATTGTTCTATGCACATCTTTAGACAAGGCCCATTCAATGATGTAAGTTTGGTGAAGATCCAAAGTTGCTAAGGGACTAACGTGGTGGAAGAAATGTGTACAAAACAAAGGGGATTGTGTCATCATTATCAGAAAAAAAACGAGAGCTTATCTGTCTGTTTGCCAACAGAACAGAGGGCTTTTTCGCATTGTTCTGCAATTTTGAACAATTTGTGTATCCTGGAAAAGTAAAGGCAAAAAATTAGTCAGTGAATATCATTTCAAATGAATTTTCAACAAGAGCGCTCCTTCAATGTCACGTGCCTGTCACGTGATGACATTGTCAACACATCATGCCAGTTTTCATCTCAAACACATCCCTTTGTGGATACATGCAAGGTTTCAATCCGATCGAACACGTAGTTTAGTTTATGTAGCCATTTCAAATCTGTGTACAAAAAGCTATGGGAAACAATAAAGATTGAAAATTTCAAAAAAATTTACATGCTGACTTAATCATGACGTCACTACTTTCGTAGAATATTTGCCTGATCATCTGTGCTTGGTGTAACTTTTGGACCGATTTAAGTCTACTAGCTAGAAGACATTGCAACTTGAAATCTATGTAAAAAGTCTATGGGGAAAACTAAAGATTTAAAAATGCATAACAAATCATATGATGACGTCATGATGGCGTCATTGATTTGGAAAATACTTTGCATTTGGGTCATCATTGGGTGTAAGTTTGATAGTGATTGAAGATTGCTAAGTGACCAAAACTGTGCCTCAAAAACGTGTACAAAGTGAATGGGCGGAAAAAAAGATTGCAAAATCAGTAAAAAGTCACTTGATGACATCATCATAACGTCATGCTTCTATGCACATCTATGCAAATTTGCGAAAAAGCCAAAAAAGAATGCCTTTTTCGCAACTTGCGAAAAAGCCAACTAGAGGTGGTGTTTGTGAACAAACACAGGCTGTTTGGAAGTTGGCTGTTTTCGTCAAATCGTATTATAAAAGAATGTTTACAAAATAGATTTAGTCAAATCGTATTATAAAAGAAGAATGTTTACAAATAGATTTGCTATGATAATATTACAGTTTCATGGAATAAAGCTGAGTTGCCAAAATATTGGCTATATTGGCTACATATCTGTGTAGAAAGTAAATTTGAAAGAAAAATTAAAAATTATTAATAAATTCATCGATGTCAACATGACATCATTTTAACCGTATCATATCACCATTTAAGTCCATCCTTGATGCAACTATAATAAAAACAATATCTTTTAAAGGTTGCACATTCCATTCTGATCAGACGTGCATGCAATGGATAACTTTTAATGGCACGTGACCTGTCACATGATGTCATCATCATCACATGAGATCAATATTGCTGTAAAATACTTTGTTTTCCACTTACATGCAAAGTTACAACACGATTGGACGTGTACTTCAGGAGATAAAGAACTTTCAAAATGGTACCTATAGTGTCATGTGACATGTCACGTGATATCATCACCATCACATCAGGTCAACAGTCCTCTAAAACACGTAAAATCTGTGTGCAAAGTCAATGGGACATACATGTATACTCGTTTGCAGAAACACTGCTCCTTTAAGTTCATGTCACGTGATCTGCGCTTAAACTGAACAGTTTTTATGAAATATTACTTCATATTCGGACTCTTAGGCATATTTCAAATCAAATTACAGGGCGTTAAGTACCCATTTTCTCTTTCGTTCTTATAGTAATCTTGAGCCAAAATTAAAGACTACTTGTTAACTTCTGTTAAGTAGGAAAACGTGTACAAAACCTATGGGGAAAATTAAATATTCAAAAATGAATATAAAGTAAGGACGTTATCCCTTTGCAATAAATCTTGTATCAGGGTCTTTGTTGGCTATCACTTTGTGAATGATCAAACATTGCAAAGTTACCAAAATTGTTGCTCAAAACCTGTCCAAAGTCAATGGGTTAGAAACGTGTGCACTAAAACTGCTCCTTTAATTTCATGTCACATGATTTTTGTCGAAACTGGAAAAAGCTTATGAAATAATATTTGATATTTGGACTCTTGGGTATATTTGCAATCGAACGGAAGAGAAAATTTAGTCTGATTTTTCTTTCATTCTAGTAGTAATTCTTGGTCAAAGATGGGGACTGCACGCGCATTATGCTGGACAATGTGTGTACAAACCCATGTTGTGCAACAACGCCATCTATGGTTCAATATAGGACAGTTTGTTGAAAATTGAAACCCCAGGCAGGTGTAACCATAATTCTGCAATAGCGCCCTCATAGCCTGATGTAGAACAGTCAGAAAACTGTGTGCAATCTGTGTACAAAGTCTACAGGAAAAATTAATTATTCAAAAATCAATAATAAATAAACTAATTAAGTTATCACTGTGACTTTCTTTTAGGACTGTTCTTGGATGATTGTCCAAAGGTCTGCCAAGTTTGAACTTGATCATATTTAGTAAACTGCCAAAGTCGACTGATGGAAGGAATTGAGCTGAAAAAGAATTTAAAAAGTAATTGAGTTGAAAAAGAATTTTAAAAAAGTGAAAAAAAAGAAAAAGGCAGAAAAGCAAGAGCTGTTCCGGCTGTTGCTGAAACAGATAAAAAACAGAAAAAAAAAAAGAAAAAAAGACTTTAACGAAAACAAGAGCTGTTTCGCTGAAACAACTAAAAAAAAGGAACAAAAAGAACAACTTTTTTGCAACCTGCAAAAAAGGCCCCCCCAAAAAGAACAAAAGAACTTTTTTTTTGCAACTTGCGAAAAAGCCAATTAAACTCATGAACACAGAAAATACACACATAAATAAGAGACCAAGTTCTGTGAAGAAAACAGAAAACCTCTTGCAACATCTATTTTTTTTTTACCTGTGGCTCCATGGTTGTGTGCATGTATGGCCGATGGAGAGTAATCGACCGGAACGTACAGTGCATTTATCATCTGTTTCATCTGTTTCATTACAGGGAGTGATCATGAGATCTCATAAAATACCTTTTTATGAAAACACCTTAATAAAAATGATTAAAATAAAACACAATATGTTATAAACAAATTGGCTATTTATTACCAAATTAAGTCCAGAAGAAAGTGTTCGATAAGGGCAATAAATGTACATGTTACATTAAAACTTGGGTACACAGCCTAATAAAAGCAACTGCGCAAACATTAAATTTGATGTTGTTGTCAGATCATACCAAGCATCATCAATGGCATGAATATTCAACTTCCTAAACTGCAGTACACAACGTCTTAAGGATGCAGATTACCAGCGACAAATTGTGGCGACGATCATGGGGTACAAAGCGGGCTTGTGGTCATGTAACAGGTGGTGTGTAGCAAGCTTTTGCTACACTCTGGCTATGAACATACCAAGCATGTCAGAAAGCGGTAATTGGTCAGGGGCAGTTCAAACTCCTTCTGTGTCCTTCCTCCATTATCCATGATAAGTAGAATAAAAAAATTGTCTACAGTCCCCACTGGGTACTTTTAGTAATGCTGTCTTCTTTTGTTCCCCTTTTGAACACTTACATGTATGTAGTAACGTGTAATGCAAAATTGAAACAGGAAATGCCTCTTCCTAAGAGACGTGATATTAATTTCTCTGGAATAAAACATTTCTTTACTCACTTGTTGGGGGATGCATTCTGCCCTCGTCCTCCATACTGTTGCCTATACTGCAAATATGCAGTGTCAAGGAACCATCTGTTAAGGCAGACCGGATCAAATCCTGGATGGTGCATGATGCAGTTCAGTGCTGCTCCATGGTATGAATCTGCCATGTGAAAAATTTGACCTATTTCTTTGCAGCACACACAACCAGGAACAGTTGCCATTGCTTGGCACCCCCCACAAACACACAGGAAATCAATTATGAATACTAGCAGTGACAAAATACTTTTGGGCTAACTGAATTTTAGGGAAAGAGCTCCACAAGTAGACATCAAAGATTTTTCCGTACAGTGGTATGGTAGCCATGAGAAAGTGATAACATCCTGAATCTTAGTGAATCTGACCATTAACTTAAAAAAAAATACTTAGAAATTATTTGATCAGTTTCACGTTCAGTATTTGTGTCAAGCGATGTCCATATATGAAACTGATAACAAGTTATTGCTGAGACCTAAAAAATTACATATCATTCCCTAAAAATATAAGCCAGAGCCCCCAGAAATTGTGATACACAAGTAACCTAGTACTAGGAGCATGGAACTACAAATAACTCCATGTTTGGAGGCATACATGTACGTGTACATCAGGGTACATGTACATACACATGTCATGTTGGGCCTACATGCAGACATTTATTGTAAACTACACTTGCCGTTTTTAAGACATGAAATTGTTCATGATGTGCAAAAGCATGTCTGAATAATCCTAAAGCACAAATGAAGATTTTGGACCAAAGAGCAACTGCAATGCTGGACTGGCTGCAGAGCACAGACCACACCTCGAACTATACTACGTTGAAAGACGTTGAACACAGTCGAAGGAAATCTGGGTAACATGGCATGCACCCACATCATGGTCCATGCACACAAGACTATCAACAAAACGTTAGAATATACACACAGTACAATGAGACATTGAATCCTTCACTGGTTTTTCATTGGCCAAAAAGGAAGCCCTTTTTCAAATAAGAATCATTAAAAACATTCTCACCAATTGATGTGACCGAGGCATCCCTCCAGATCTTCAGCCGACATGTCAGACGTGGAATCACTGTTGGAATCTAAACTTCTTCATTATCACTTAAGGTGACTTCCAAACTGTAACTAGCCTGATTGGATCTGGACGAATCTGAACTATTACCGTCAACATCGGATGAAGAACATGAAGCTGCATCTGAATTCTCACGTTCGGCCATGTTTCTGTCAGAGCGGCTTCAACGTGTGCATGAGCACAATGTCATGTTATTGTGTACATGTACTGTACATACACAGTACATGTACATGTACACACGTGACAGTGGATGTGACGCAGCGTGGTCTCAAGTTTGGCGGCTAGTCTCGTGCCCCAACGTCGTTGTCGGGTCCAGATTATCAAGTCTTTCACAAATTTCGGTGCCTCAGTCTATGTCACAAGCCGCGCCCAATTTTGAAACTCCAAAAAGGGGTCACTTTAACCCCTCTGCTACGGAGGACTGCTACTACTGCACCATTGTGTGAGGATTAGTGCATACCACACATACAGTCTATTTACCATGCAGCTGCTGGTTCAATGGGGCCTGCTGCGGGACAAAGCCCTCTATTCAGGGCATACCACAGCCCAGCAGTCGCGGTCAAAATAATCCCGCCATGAAGGGGTCAAGGGTGGCAAATAAACATATACATGTAACTACTTCGTATGAACCACTTCTACTTTTACTTCGTACAGAACATATATTAATTAAAGTAATTATGAATTGAAATGGGTTTTTACAAATTTTGACTTCCTTGTTCCTTTAAGCCAAGGGACAGAAGTGAAACGGTGGTGTACATGTACACAGACCAAGATGGCGTCCCCAGAGGAGTTGGAAAAGGTCGAGGTTGCGGCGAAGGCAAGACTCTACAGCCTATCCAAGGAGCAGCAATTAAGTGTGATCGACCATTTGAAGATCAGAGAGGGAATGGGTGAGAGGGAACAACATGGTCTCATCAAGTACATCAACAGGTACTTGGATGGAGAGGTGGACAACATGATGATCGTGGACTAGCAATTCTCTAGCGCCTCCAAGAGCACATGGATGAGCTATGGATGGGCTTGTCACCCCTACCAGTACCACCAGCACCACTGACAAGATATAAGAGGTGACCTTCGACTTCAATAGGGTGACTTCTGTTCTTGCAAGGAGAGAACTAAAAATATACGGCCAGATCGGTTCCGCAGGACAGGTGGACCAGCTGTCGTTCAACAGCCTGGCCAGGCAAATTGAGGACGACTAACACAAAGGTCACACGGAGCAAGAGATCATTTCTGAAGTCAAAGAGCAGTCAACCCCAGGCTACCTCTGCCGAGTTACCTCGAGGATGATCGAGTATAACGCTGCCTCAACTGCGTCACGTCTTAAGGGCGCATTACAAAGAGCAGGACGCAATCGATCTATATCAGGAGCTGGTAGCTGCCTCTCAACAACAGAAGTCGTCTTCCCATAAATTTTCTTGCGGGCCATGAGTCTTCAGCAGAGACTAATATTCTCCTCCCAGGAAGATCAATCTTCTTACAAATACGATACTGATCTTGCACAGAGTGCCTTTAAGTAGTCCCTAAAGACAAGTCTCACTTGAAGTCTAAAGGGAGAGATGAGACAGTACCTCCAGGATCCAGATATCAGTGATGAGTTACTTGAAGATATCATGGATAAAACTGCTGAAAGTAAATGATTTTTCATACACGTGTAGTGGACATTAGGCTTACTCACCATGCTCACCTAGGCCTATTTAGTCGTCTTGTTTTCTATCTTCTTTTTCTGTTTGCTGAAAATGTCTTTAATATCCGCTTTCGGGTCAACTTCCACACTGATCCAAAATTTCAAGCCAAACACGATCACTTGTCACTAAAAACTTTGCACACAATGGTTTACAAAAACACACATCAAAAATATGTTGCCATTGTTATGCACGATTTATCAGCAGTTCCAATATGGCCGTAGCGTTCCAATCACCTGGTCACTTGTGTTCATGAGTCGTGAACTGGAGGTGGAATTTTCTTCTGGAGTTCACGACGTGACCAACCTCGTTCCTACATGTAGGATGTTGAGCAGTATGCACTCATTACTATCTGCA